AATTTTGCATGCCATGAAAAAAGTGGTGCTTCAAAACAATTCAAAAAGATATTTGACTCTAGTATGATTGCATAAAAGCAGCAGTCTAAGAGTCATACAATAAGATGATAGAAGGAAATCTCGGTTCAGAACTTAAGTCGAGAACTATGCAATTTATCCAGTGTAAGTCACATATTGCTCCTTGGAAAGTGATGATACAATTGAAGCAGTCAAGCAGAGCACCTAAAAGGACGATGGAGCGTACTAATGAAGTGTGAATAATGGAGGGGCTCATTTCACGAATCATTTCACAAAAAATTGCATCTGTCCATCTGAATTTCACGAAGCAACCCTACAAGTGACCGAAGTCATGGAGAGCCTGCGAAATCTTTGGAACATAGGGATATAGTAAAATAACTTGCAACTGCAACTTCTGGGGGAGTATACATTTCTGAACTAATTAGCCAAAACCTCTTCTACTCTTCCTCAGCTAAACAATATAGCCATGAGAAACCATGAACCAAAGAAATATTTCTTTCGCCTTTGCAAAGGAGCATTATCATGAGAAATCGCCAGCACGGGAAATTTCAATATGCATTCCAAAGCTTTTCCATACAACAAGTGAACTTCGTGTTACAATGGATTAAAAAAAGTGTTTTTCAGCTTCTGGTTTAAAAAAGCTGAAATGAGTGTTTTCAAGTGACAGCTTCTACTTAAATTAAGCACTTGAAAGTTAAAAGCCGGAAGCAGGTTGAGAAGTGTTTTAAAATGGTTTTCATTTTTTCTATTACACTAAAATCACTTATTTAATCAAACACTACCTACTTTTACTTTTAAACATTTTTTCTAAAATCACTTTTAAAAAAGTAGAAGCAATCGCAAATAGTCCTTTAGAAATGGGATGGATTATTCAGCATAAAAGTAAGTCTATTATAACTTCATTGTGTGATACAGCTTGGACAAATACAACAAGCCAAGATAGCTACATTTGAAACACATCCAAATTCAATAAAAAAAATCAGAGAGACTATGGTTTCTAATAGGCCTGGGACCGGTTCGGTTCCTAGGCAAAATATGTGGAACCGTTTGAAAATATGAAATTTTACTAACGGTTCGGTTCTTATAAATTATTTTAAAGAACCGATAAGGAACCGAACCGTTCTTAACGGTTCGGTTCTTGTCATTTAACGGTTCCTAGTCTTTGAAGAAATTCTTACAAATCACGACTAAATTTTTGCCAAAAAGACATTCAACGTTAGAAATCTCAATACATATATGATGAACCAGTTAAAGAGAATAATAATTTTAAATACTCTGGACCTTCCGAGTTCCGACCAGCTGGAGTTTGGACCTAATGAGAGGCCTAAGAAGCCTAAGAGAACTGGTTGAAATAAATAATAGTTTTAAATAGTTAAATAACTAAACTAAAATAATGAATATAATATAAAAATAAATAAGTAAATATACATTACAATATATATATTCATAAAAATATATTTAATTTTAATTATTATATATAACGGTTCCTTAACGGTTCCTGGTACATATTTTTTTCAGGAACCGAGAACCGAACCGTTAATAAAAATTAGGAACCGAACCGTTAACAAATAACTAATAAATGTTGGAACCGAACCGAACCGGGTCATAACGGTTCGGTCCGGTTCGGTTCTCCGGTTCTTGGTTCCAAAGTCCCAGCCCTAGTTTCTAAGGAGAGCCAGGCAAGAAATGAAGGGAAAATGAAAAGATTTTACAGCATAAATGCACAGTAAATTCAAAGAGATACACAACCTTATCTGGAGGTGTCTTGGACAGCTCATCCATATAAGCCTTGAGTTGGTCATGGGGTTTGGGCGGCAATTTAGGGACATTGAGCACAATATCAACACATAGGTTCCCGAACGTGGAAATATCTATATCCTTAACCCCGACTGCTCGGAAGCGGTGTTCTTCGGCGCCATTGGAAAGCGGGTGCTTTGGGTGATCCGTAATTTGACTAATTTCAATCAGACGGCAATTGAGAATCGAACGGCGAGTCCTCCTAGGGAAGACGATACGAGTTACAGAGAGTCTAGGCTTTGGATCACTGTTCCGATGGGGTAATATGCCATTGGGTTGGACTGACGCAGGTTTCCGGTATATGGTGAGGTGATGCATTCAGGTGAAAAGCAAAAAACCAGAATTCGCAGGCTTGAAGTACAATGTGAGATGAAATGCTGAAATGAAATGAAAGTTTGGAGTGAAGTAAATGAATTTTCTATTTTCTTTTGATGAAAATATTATACTCCGTATTTAAAATATTTTTTTATTAATAATGGTAATTAGATATATATGTATTCCATAGAATCAGAGCTGGGTAAATGAAATAGAAGAGTGCATCTGGAATTTTATGCGATCGAGGTATGCCAACTAGATTGAAGGGTAAATTTTATCGACAACAATTAGACATGTATTAATGTATGGCGTGAAGTGTTGGACGGTGAAACAATGTAAAATTTTATCAACAACAATTAGGCCTGCATCGGGATTTCACATTTGGCATTCGTGTGGACAAGTGATCTCTTTTCTTCTATCTTATCCTCTCTCTTTCCTTTTATTGTTTATCTTCATTATCTTTTTATGTTCTTATCATATTTTTATCTTATATCTTTCTTATGTTCTTTTATCTTTTATCTTTTTATATTATTATATTATTGTTATTTTATATTTATCTTTATCGTATCTATTTTATCTTATTCTTTTTTTTTTCTTTTATCTTCTTCTCTTTTCACATCGATATCATGGATTTATTAATGTTAGCCGACCCCAAATTCTTTTGAGATTATGGCTTGAATGTTGTCATTGTTGTAATAACGTATAGAAAAATTATATCAAAAATAGCAAAAGTAAGTTATTATTCTAACTCCAAACAATAAAGCTAGGAAAATAACTTCAATCTTACTTTATTTTATTCAGCGTGCATAATCAAAAGTTACGTGTTTAGTGAAAAAGTTGAATGATAAGCTTGATAAGTCGGAAAAATATGATCACCAAACGAGCTCTTAATTCATGACTCTAGTAAATAGGCACGAAAACAATCTCTCTATTTTTTTATGTTTTATAGTTTTGTTACCGTTTTCTATTTTGATAAGTTTTTCATTTAAAAATACTCAATTATCATTATCATTATTTTTGTTTCTACCTTCTCTCTTTCTTTTCAACATATTTGATTACATCTACTATTTTTTACAAAATATTGTGTTAAACCCTATTGCAGAAAACCATAGTATACGGAGGATGTATGAGAAGGACGAAATAATGATTTCTTTCAACACAATTTCTCAATTCATTTAAAAAACGTTTGAAATATACATTTTTCATTATTGAACCATTAAACACGTTAAATTCAAAAAGATTAGATTAAAAGATAACCAAAAGAATGATGAGTGATGAAATAAAGGGAAAATCCCAAAAATAGAAGTAAGAATAATGTAAAGGCCTTATTTTACTAATATTACTAAATTAAATGAGAATAACCAAAATGTGACTAAGTTTCAATTTTCCCAAAAAAGTGACCAAGATGCTTAATATGCCCTTTATTACATACAGATTACTCCATTTATTATGATTTTTGTTTATACGGAGTATTTATTAGCATCATTAAGAAGCAATGAATGGTTGGTTCCCGGACACCACCGCAGCTATCACTGTCGACACTATCATTGTCGCCGCCGCCGACAGTGACTATGTTCGCCCACTCCCACATTGCCCCCTTTTCAGTGACTACTCTGCTGCCCTTTTTCAGTGACTACCACATTGCCCCCCTTTTCAGTGACTACTACCCCATTGCCCCCTTTCAGTGACTACCCCATTACCCCCTTTTCAGTGACTCCCCCTTTGCCCCCTTTTCGTTCAGTGACCCCTTTTCAGTGACTCCCCCTTTGCCCTCTTTTCGTTAAGTGACCCCTTTTCAGTGACTACGGTCATCGCCAACCATCAGTGACCACCGTCCCCGCCAACCATCAGTGACCATCGTCCCCGCCAACCATCAGTGACTACCGTCCGGCCGTCCCCACCAACCATCAGGACGACCGTCGCCATCAACCGTTAGTGACTCCATTTACCACTGCCACACCACAGTCAACTGCACCGCCGGCAGCCCCCAACCTCCCTCTCCCGCCCCATCCCCAGTCCAAGGCCCGCTCCCCCGCGCCCTTCCTAGCCCCGGCCCCAGCCCCAAACTCCCTCTCCGATCACATCTCCAGTCCCAGAACCCCTCTCCTGCCCCAGACCCAGTCCCAGACCTCCTCCCCTGCTCCCTGCCAAGTCAGGACCCCCCTCCCCCGACCCCTCCCCCAAGATCAGTTGTTCCCCGTCAATTTGAACAATCGGTCGCCATAGCCCATATGGGCGGTGGGCTGCTGGTGTTTCTTTCACGGCCACAACCGCCTGCTTGATGTCGTTCTACAATATTACCCGCGTACACCATCGTTCAACAGGTAATCGCCGACAGAAACGCAGAAACATAGAAGAAGGAGAAGAAGAAAGGCGACGGTGATTTTTTTAAGAGGTGAAGCAATGGTGATTAATGGATGAGAGACGAAATCGTGGCAGCCAAGGGGTGAGAGATGAAGCGGTGACGGCAGCCGGATGAGAGCTGAGGCGGCGTGTGAAGATGTGGCGGCGGCAAACATTATGAGATGCATGGGAGGAGAAGCTGTCGATCGATGATCGGATAGATTGGGTTAGGGTTTTATTTGGTTCCTTATTTGGAGTTTTATTTAGACCACTCATTTAATGGAGTCACTTTTGTGGAAAAGGTAAAATGTGTTATATATTTGTAAATGAAAACTCCAATGGTAATTTCCCTGCCATTTTTTCTAATGTAAAATTTCAAAATATGAGCACTATGTTTTCCTTTCCTACATATGATATGTTATTGTCAACTTCTAAATTTATTGTCATATTTTGATTTCATCAGGCTTGAAATATATCATTATACATTTATACTGCTACCATTAGCCCTATAAATGAAGTAGGACAATAATTATCTTTATTTAAGAAATGACAACCCGAATTCTAAAGCGTGTTTACTCATGTTTAGAGAAATTTCTTTAAAACAAATCACAAAGTTAATAGTTTTATTCCGCATGTATGTATTTACATTCCACATATGGTTGCAAATGACCATATAACAATTCGAGCAAATGCCAGCCATATGAGAGTATGAGACTCTGAGATTTGAGAACCCACAGAACCTCTAATTCTCCATGGACTGGCTGTCTCCATATAACAACCCTGCACTTGCAACTTCCTTTGGTCCCGTTGATGCACGTGGTCTGACTCGGTACATAATCGAGCCACACAAAGCACAAACATTGGTCCGAGTCAAGTCATAGTTCCATGCTGACCTTCATGGCCACTAATGTGTTGAGCCTCCCCATGTTTGGGCCTTGTCCCAACTGCCATATCACCAAAAGTCACATAAAATAATACTAGGTAAATTACCTGTGGTCTTCAAAACTGCCAAAGCTATGTATTGAATGTATTCAAAGGAATATTCTTTAAAAGAAAAGTATGCAGTTATTACATGAAAACATTATAAGAGGACAAAAGAAAACGACATCCTTTAGAATAATATGAGCAATCATGTAGAATATTTAAAAAAAGACGCATAATGTGCGAAATAATTATGTTTGTCTTTTCAAGTAGTACTTGTAAAGAAACAATAGTGTTTAGGGAGTGTTTGCAACTGCTTAAAAAAACACTTCTCGACTTTTGGCTTAAAAAGACACTTATTTATCAAACATTACCAATTTTTACTTTTCTCGACTTTCATGTGAAAAATGTTTTTCCCTTTTCTATTACACAAAAAACACTTATTTTACCAAACACTACCAACTTTTACTTTTCAAAATCATTTTTTTCTCAAACACTATCAACTTTTATTCAATCAGTTTTTCCAAAAAGTGTTTTTTTAAGCAGAAGCTGTTGCAAACACTCCCTTAGCCGACCTCCTTTTAAAATTATCTCCTGATACACTAGTAAGAAAACGATTTATTTCATTATTCACTGTCACCAAGCTATGCACTACAGAGTATATACATATATGATTTACACGCTTACAGGTATCAAGAACAACCAGTAAAACCGGTCCTTCAAGTTCAGATAATATACATCATAATTCACAACAGCAATGAAAGCCAAGTGTAGTCTACAATCGGATTGAGCATAGAATGGCAGTGCTGAAATCCAATGAATGGTGAAATGGCAGTTTTGAAGTGGATGATCTCCAAAATTTCTTCTTTGAATCATATATTTGAGCCAATAAAGTTGGTGATCTTTTATGGTGCCTTGAACTATGCGTGGAGGCACTAATCCCATTAATAATGGTCATCACATACAACTCGCCGTCCAAAGCAACAAACCCAACTGGTCTATCATCAGCGCTTTTTTTGGGTAGACTTGTTTCCTTCAGCCACCGGTTTGGACTCCTATGGTACCTGTGAAATAAACAAGTGTTCATTATAAATGTTGAGATACTCTTTGTATGACCAAATGTCCGTAATTGGGCTACGCCGAGGCATCAACAAGTTTTCGGACAAAGACATGCTAATGTGAGTATGTGACCCCTAAAAATTAGGCAATGTTGAGGCTTAGGCCTTTTCGCCTGAGGCATACCCAATTGCATTTTAAGAGTATAATCAGATAGATTGTGCCGGGGAAAGTTCCTGAAATAGGACTAAAACGGTTTGAAAATTCCAAAATAGAACTGTCATGTTTTTTATTTCAAAAATAGGAGTAATTACTGTCAACTTTGGAAAGTTCTGCCACGTTTGAAGTCTGGTACTGTCAAAACATGGCAGTAATTAGTCCTATTTTGGGAATAAAAACATGGCAGTCCCATTTTGGAATTTTCAAACTTTTTTAGTCCTATTTCGGGTAATATTCTCATTGTGCCACTTACAAATATAACCCATTTTTCTTTTAACTTCTCCACCACTTCTCTTCTTTAGCAATCACTTCCTTCTGTAAGTCTTCTACAACTTTTCATTCTCTTCTCTACTTCTCTCTAGCAACGTACTTTTAAATTTGTACACTTTCTCCCTTAACAATGCGTTATACTTTGTTTGATGTTAGTATTATATTGCAGATAAGGTGAATTATCTTCTCTTCTACAAGGTGTTTTTTCCTGTAATATTTCCCTTATCCATTTAATAGTGGATGTAGATATTGATGGTGATGATGCTAGTGGTGATGTTGGATTTTGATGTATTTTGATCACTATTTCGAACTAGTACATATTGATGACCTTTACTTTTCATTCTTCAATCCAATAAACTCTGAACATTAACCATGTGTGTGAAGAGGCCAAACTAAACAAGTCGAATCACTTATGATATGACAAATAAGAGGTCGATCAGAGCCCCTCTAGTAGGCTTCAGTTTCAACTAAACTGCAAGTTATTTCACCCAACACTAACTTATAATAGAGAGATAGTTAAATCTACCTTTACTTCTATAAAGTATTTTAATTCCTTTAGTTCAGTATAGTTTTAAATTATTCAGCAGATTCAGCCAAAAGTTCACAGCTTTCATGAAAATCAACATTTTACAGCAGTGCTTGGACTGCTTGCTATTGCTTGAAAAATTACCTTTAAGTTTATAGCTTAAAAAATTAAGAGCAAGGTTTTTAAATTGGTACTTTGGCTTAAGCTAAACCGCTTTAAAGTGAAAAGTTCTTAGCACCAAATCTTATGTTTTTACCAAACATTCAAACTTCTACTTTTAAAAAATAACTCCATCATCATCATAACCCAAGTGCCGCAAAGGCTCCCACCTATGGTGGGGTAAGGGGGTCGGATGTACGCAGCCTCACCCCTGTACTAAAGCATAGGAAGACTGTTTCCGGATGACCCATGGTGAAAATCGCGTCCAAAATTGCATGGACTAACTGCTACTTCATAACAAGAAGTGCAGACTTTTAAAAACACGAACTCTTTGTATGGTTTTTTATAATAATTTTTGTTTAATATATATAAGTTATGAATCTGCTATTGACAACCCGTTACACGAACTCTTTGTATATATGTACTTGTACTCATTGTTTGTAATTGCGCAATGCAATTGCGCCTCATGGCGCGCCTTAGCTAATTCCTGGACTATGGCGTAAAAGGCAATGCATATGGCGCTGGGAGTGTGATGTACGCAATATTGCACTGAGGCGTACGCAATATTGGATACGCAATAAGGCGCTCTGAGGCGTACGCAATAGGAGGTCAGGGTGTAAGGGTATTATTTGGGCCCACTCGACCCACTTTTAAATTTTTATAATTGATCTTATGATCCCTATTTCAAACCAGTAGTTATTGATTGAATTTTTCAGTCAATCAATCTAATTAATTTAAATTTTCATATCTTAGATTTTGTTTTGATAAATGGTTCAGAATGTTTTGGTATTCTATGGTACTTTGAAGTTTGAACATGTTACTTTGCTTGGCCTCTTATGGTTTGTTTTAATATAACATTTGATGACTTTTGATGAATATGTTTATTTTTTAATATGTTTATATATATATATATATTATATATATATATATATATATATATATATATATATATATATATATTACGCCTCAGCTATACGCCTCATTGCGCAATGAGGCTTACGCAATATGCAATATTAAAAAAACATCACGACTACGCAATTCGCAATTTTGAACCTTGCTTGTACTTATAAAAAACGTAGGCAATAGCAACAAGCCAACAACCCAACTCATATAAATACTTGTATGTAACAATGTGAAAAATAAAACAGATTAACAAGAACCCTGTGTCATGAAAACTGTAAAAATTTACCTGAAAATATTACTTTTCTCCAGCATAAAAACAGCAGGGGCATCACACTCATCAACAACAGCCACAATCTTCCCAAGCCTCCTCCTCTCTCCTTCTTCCCACATATCCCCAATCTCTTTCCACTTCCCACTACCATTCTGCAACTCCATCACGAGAACATCCTTGTAGTATTGATCCACAGGAAGGACATTTGAGATTGTTCTTGAATTTCCATATCCACCCATTACCCAGAACTCTCTATCCTCCTCCCCATGGCCCACAAAGAATCCGACACATCCTGCACGGAACCCTGGCAATCCGTCCAACTGGACCCACTCATCCTTTCCAATATCATACATCTCCACAGAGCTCACAATACTTCCAGCAGCCCCAAACACAGTGTGTCGAGAACCGCCACCCGCAACAAGAATCTTATTGGAATTTGGGATGGCAGCACAAGCAAAGCTACCCCTGGGTGTGATCATGGGGGAGAGTGATTCCCAGGTCGAAGAGGCAAAGTCAAACCGAAATGCAGAAGAGGATGGGGATGGGGTGTCGAGGGGAAAAGAACGGGTATCAAAAAGAGAACCGCCGAGTAAATACAAGTGGGGCCCGACCGCTATTGATGTAAAATTGCAGAGACCATAGCCATGGGGGTTGCATGGCAAGGGCGGCAGTAAGGACCAGGCGAGATTTTGGGGATCAAATAGACATGGAGAGGTGATTGAAGGATCTTCCGGGAATATACAGAGTAGATGGGAGAGTCTAGGGGGTGAAAGAAGCTTGTTGCGTAGAGAGATTATGGTTTTTGATGAGAAAAGTAGTCTCCAGGATTTACATACGGATTTCAATCGCGATTGATGAGAGTAAGGGACGAATAATAAAATCAAGGCCGCTAAATCGTTAGGAAGGCCCGGAATAAAGGTTAGGGTTAGGGTTCGGAGTCGCGATTGCTGTCTGGAGACCATCGAATATGGAGGAGCCATATATGACAGCTAGCGAGGTTCAGAGTAAAACAAACTGTACAATTTTGCTATGATCTTGCAGAAATGAACCACGGGATTAGGTCTGGAATTTGAATTAAGGGGTGATAGGAGACAATTCTTCTTCAATTCATCTATGCATATATCAATTTATCAATTTATTACATGTAAAGCGAGTAATACATACAAATCTCCATGACTGCACTTCCCCGGTTTACGGCCACCGTTCAATGGCGGCGCCAGGAATTCAACTGTGTTAAACAGCATCGCTGCTGAAAGAAAACCACTTCTCGCCTTTCTTTATCATTATCATGGCCAGACTCGTACTTTTCGCTTTTCGTTTGCAAAAATGTCCATTAGCAAATGTTTACTCTCAATTATTTGTTCTGTTTAGTAAATGCACTAGTTTATAACTATCTAACTTTGGTATGATTTGATGTAAGATTGAAAACAATTCAACTACATTATGTGTAGTGAGAATTTTTTGTCACAAAAAAAAAGATTTGTCCATGCAAAATACTATTCTCTTCACAAAATAAAAAGAGATTGTCTATACTCAGACAATTCGATCAGCGTGTAAATTGACGTTTAACAAAACTTGCACAAACAACATTTCTCTTCATAATTTGAATTTGTAAAGTGCTCCAAAAAAAATTGAATTAGTGAAGTAGTTTGGAACGATTAAATAGTGAAACTTGATAAACTTTTACAAGCAGAGAGAGTGTCATTTATAACATGTATTCACTAAACATTAGAGAATTGTTTGACAATCATTGTGGCTGATAATAGATCAGTTCTTATACCGTGGGATCATCCCACGGTGAGCATCGTGCTCCATACCCAAAACGAAATAGTTTTGCACATTGTATTTTAAAAAAATTCGTGTGAACAGTAATGCGTGAACAGTTCTTGTTTTTTTTTTCCTTTTTTTCTCAATAGCATGAATGATGTAACTCGCGTGTAAAATAATGTAACTCACGTTATTGATCGATGTAACTCAAATCGAGTCAAAATGTAACTTGTCAAATACATAGTATAAGAAATAAAACATTGATTTCAATGTAAACAATAAAAAAGAGAGTCTAAATGCGCAATTACTTTACTTAAATCGTGAATATGTTTTGTTATTAATATCATGACCATCAAAGGATTTTAAAAAATCATTTTTTTTGTTTCAATAGTAGGGGTTGATTTTTTTTTATGTAACTCATGTTATTACAAATGTAACTCGTGTTTCCAGCGATGTAACTCACATTGATAAGAAATGTAATTTATGTCAAGTTAAAATATAAGTTATCTAAAATAGAATATAAGAATTAAAACATTGATTTCAATGTAAATAATGAAAAATATGAGTTTTATCCCTCTGAATGTAGTGTATGATTATGAAATACAATATACTTATTTTATGTGGGTTAATAAAATTTTGTAATAAATTAGTAATGAAAGAAGTTAATGCAGCTGTAATTTAATTGCTTAAAGATAAAGATAAGTAAAAAATAACAAATAACTAGATGTAACTCGCGCATAATTAGATGTAACTCGCGCATAATTAGATGTAACTCACGCATACGTAAATGTAACTCACGTATTATAAGATGTAACTCACACATAAATACATAATAAAATACAACTCGCACATAAGAAGACGTAACTTCAAATGTAACTCCAAGAATAAAAAAACAAATTCAATGTCTTAAAAATCTCTAAAAACATATAAAAGAGATAAAAAAATTGTAGAAAAAGTGTATGCATATAAAAAAATATTACAAAATAGTGTATGAATATAAAAAATATATTACCAAAAAGTGTATGAATATTGTAAATATTACAGAAATAAAAGTAGTGTATGAATATAAATGCAATACACTTATTTTATTTAGATTTATAAACTTTTTGTTATGTATGGATAGAGAATAAAAAAAAGATACAATTATTATTTAAGTTGAAGATAAAGAAAAGTAAAATTACAATTAAATTTTTAGTATTTTGATTTGATGGAAAAGGATAAGAGTTGAAGAAAAAAATAAAGAAAAGAAAAGCAAAAGAAAAAGGGCTGAAGTTGCTCTGGGAGACAAAAAGGGAAGATCAACTTCCTAAAGTGGGATCAGCACACCATGAAGACGGTGGGCCGATCCCACAGTATAATTTGCGATAATAGATAGTGTGATCGATAATAGCGGATTTATTAGTTATTCTCGATTTCTGACCATTCAATGTTATTAACAAATCTCAGTAATTTCTTTGTGATTTTAATCCTTTAGGATTAAGGATGTTTTCTTTTGGACTGTTTTCAGTCCCAGACCAGACCAGACTTAAACAGATCAAACCAGACCAGACCAGACTTGGATAGTTATAAAATACACAGAGACCAGACGTTTACCAGACCAGACTTAAACAGACCAGACCAGCAAATTTCAGTCCAAAAGAAAACATCCTAATTGTCAAGATGTAAATTGTAAAGTATCAATGAGAACATAAATAAAACTTTTGTATGTATATATACATTTAATTACAGTGACTTTTAAGATCAAATTTGTTTATATTTTTAATTTCATTTACTATTATTTTATATAATTAATAATTAATAATTACTTCACTGTATCCCAACTCCAACCGGCTACCTCACTTAGTTGCGAAAAACTCTTGCCAAAAACTCTCTTCATGGTTACGTGATGTCTCAAACATAAAATTGTACAATCAGTCATTGGAGGTTTACTGCATTATTAGTGCTTTTTGAAAATCAGGTACAATTGTGAAATAACAATCCATCAACAATATAGTCAACCTTTATATGTTTTATTTGATATAACAATCAAGGAATTCATTATTGTGAAATAATGACAACATTGTGGAATAACATAAGCCCGCATTAGAGATTAACATATAAGGCTATCATCAGCACGATATAGTTTACAACCTAGGATTCTAGCTTGGCAACAGTTTTTGCAAACATTGTAAATCTTTGTGGTATTTTGTGGGCATAGCATATAGAACACTTCAGGGTTGCATTCTTGTGTGCAGAAGATGCCATCAGCCTCAACCTTTTCAACATTATTCCCCATAAATAGAACACCTGCAATATTATGAGGATGAGGTTAATAATAACAACAATAAAAATGATAATAATAAATCAATACTACCTCCGTCCCGAAGTGAAGTTCTCGTTCACTATTCATTTGTCAACTTGAATCACTCCTAATCTTTTAGTTTACATATCAAATTTTTATCAAATTTAAATTTTCTTGATCAGGCTTTGTAGCGGTGTTAATGTAGTTTCTGAATATATAAATTCTATACACTATAAATAATTTGAGTGTGAACAGAGATCGAGTTACTTTATTGTCAGTCAAACATCGTAAACCGAACGAGAACTTCTTTACAGGACGGAGGGAGTAATAATGATGACATCGATGATAATTGGAAATTTAGTTAGCAATTCATATTAAGGAGGACGAATGTATTCTTGGTGAAAATTAAATTTGAAAAATTCTTGAATTGCAAAAATACAGTAGGGAACCATGAAAGTAGAAATGAGTCATGAGATTCAACAACATTATGTTCTAGAAAGAAAAATAGAACCCGAACATCATTCACGTTTTAAACAGAAACCAAAAAACTTTATACTGAAAATGGAGTTTTCAAGTATCAAAGATGTATAAACGAATACAATATTTTAATTAATTAGATATAAGAAATAGCACATACCAAATACAATGAGGGAAGTGAAGAAGATAATTTGATTGGATGAAGCCATATTCTCAAAGGGACGTAAAAGAATTTGTGATCAAGAAAGTATTATGTGTTTGAGATCAGAAAAGTCTATGTACCATTGTGAGCTGCAATTACCTATTTATAATAAAAAAGTGAAGGAAAAAGTAAACGATATATGGAAACTATCTTACTCATTAAGGAGGAAATAGACGTTACCTAAAATAAATTAAACACCATTAAAGTCTCATTAATTCTTATATAACGCCACATTTTCGCCATTCAAATCTGTACTTATTGAGTGCATCTGTTCACTGAATAAAATTTGTCCAAATTAAGTCATTCACGGAATGAAAAATGTGTACGCATTCTTAGTACTAAAGTGAACACATAATAATAATTACGATAGTATAAAATACTACGATGGTAAGACACTGATAAATAAACTGAAGAATGAAAAATTAGGCTTCCATTTCTAATTTTTAACAACATCTATCTATAATAATATATAGGAACCAGGTGGGGAACCTGGTTGCAAATCCCACCCACTTAAGGGATATTATTGTCATCTTCTTTGCAAAGTCCCGCCCAAAGGAAAGAATAGCTATTTATGGAGACTTTTAAATATTAATTGTATTATTAAATGTAATTTGTCCTTAATTGCATGTAAGAGTAGTGTAATACTACGTATCACGTATGTAAAAGTTACCGCACATTGTATTAATGAAAAGAGTAATACGGTAATGATATTGTAATAAATAAAATGTTATTGATCGAATTGGTAAGAGTGTAATAATACTCCATAGACCATACGACTGGGATTCGATAGCTGAACACCATTGTACTGCATCAATTGATTATTAAATCCATATAAGGCAATATACTTACGAAGTTACGAGTATTTTATTTAGATTAAAAATTTCTTTGTTATGAATTGATGATAAAGAATAAAAAATAGACTGAGTCGTAATTTATGTTGAAGATAAAGAAAAATTAAATTGGTATTACATTTTTAATATTTTAATGGAGAAAAGCATTGAAGAAAAAATAAATAAAGAAGACGAAAAAGAAAAATAATACACTGCAAGGAAGAAAAAGTGAAAGTACACATATGTACCAATGGGATATGATCGATATATGGTAAACGGGATAATGATCTCATGTTATAATTTGTGGTAAAGAGATATACTCATTTTTCGACATTAAAGTAGCATATTCTCGATTGCCTAAAAGTAAATTGTCCTATTTAGTAAACGATTTTGAAAATTTCAAAATACGATTACTATATTTTTCTTCCTGAAATAAGAGTCATTATAGTCATGATTGAAAAAATATTACCATGATTAAAAAATGTTGTTATAAAATATAATGTATATTGTCATGTTAAATGCATAATATTGCAACTACGGAGTATTAAAGATGTTTTTACTTGAATTGTTTTCAGTCTCAGACCAGACCAGACCAGAGTTAAATAGACCAAGTCAAATCAGACAAGACCAAACCAGACTTGAACAGACTAGACCAGACCATACTTGAATTCCGTATAATAGTTATAAAATACACAAAGACTAGACATTTACCAGGCTAGTTCAGACCAGATTAGACCAGACCAGACTTAAACCGACCAGAACTATTTTTGAATTGAAAACGTTATGTAGTGCTATTTTGGGAAATCACCCT